TGCTTGTACCCTGTCCCTTCACCTCTCTCCCCTTGACCAGGAACATCGGAGGTTTTTAACTTCTGAATAAAAGTAGAACAGACTTTTCACGCATGAACTTCCTTTCCCATATGACAATTACCTGGATAATCAACTGTGCTATTCCAGCTCAGTGAAATGGCAGTAAGCCATAGTCTGCCTCATTTAAAGCCCACACCTGAGTGCAGAAGACTAATGTCTCCTTCCCTTTTGCTGCTTTTCAGCCTGCAGAAGATCATCCACCGGAATGACGGCACAGAGTCGGAATGCACGGAGCGGGATGGGTGGTGCCTTCCCAAGACCAGTGATGACCTGCGGGACAGCATGTCCCTGATGATAAAGCAGATCATCAGATCCACAAGGCCTGGTAAGGATGCTTTGAACATCACCCTGTTGTACTGCCTTCCTGATAGTGTGGAGATGTTGTAGGCTGAGGGGAGGATGGTGAAGTCAGCACTGGGGCAGAGGCTTTCCTGCATCTGCCTCCTCCTTTGTGCTACCCCTCAGTGTTCTTTGTGTTGTAGCTGAGGCTGTTCTGCAGTGTGAAGGTGGGTTGGCATTAGGAATGACTGGAAGTAAAGGTTTTCTATTTCATCTTCCCAGTGTCACAGCCTTCAGGTGTTAAATGTCTTTGAACAGTGATAATCAAAATCTTATTCTTACTGATGTATCTGTTGGTGGCATTTTACTTTTTTTGTCATTACTGATTGAACAAGAAGTGAGGAAGTTGTTTGTGTGTGATGCTGGGCCAAAGCAATAATATCCCAGTGAATTAGGTCAGAATGAGCTGGGAGAGGAGGCACAGCACTACAGCTCTGCTGCTGTTCTGCTTGCTTTCCTGGAGTATGAAAAGGATTGCTTTGGGCTCGATCAGATTCTGTTAAGATGTGCAACATTAGCTGTGCCCCCGCGGCTTCTGCCTTCCTCTCACATGTTGTGTGAACTCTACTGCAAATGCCCCCAGGTTTCACTGAGAGAGGCATCACAGTGTCTTTCTTTCTCCCCAATTAAGCTCTTTTCTCAAATACAACAAGCAGTGAAGACTGCAAAGAGCAGCTGGCATATGAGTCTGGAGAGGATGAGGAGGATGAAGAGGAGGAGGAAGAAGACTTCAAGCCTTCTGATGGGAGTGAAAATGAAATGGAGACAGAAATACTGGACTATGTGTGAACTGGGTGAGCAGTCTGGCTGCTGTGGACAGAACTGTCTCTTGCTCCTTGAGAGCTGAGGGTTCAGATCCATGCCCAGGATCTGGGAAAGCGGAGCTTGCACTACAATGATGCCACTCTCTCTGCACTGACTGCTGGTGGCCATCATTATGGATGTTTGGGAGTCTTTGCCTACATTTTCATAACTGCTGGCTAAGAAAGCCTCCAGCAAGCTCAACAAACTCCCCAGAGCGAGCCCAGAATGCAAACCAGCTGGTAATACACCAGGATAGAGGAGAAGCTGCATTCCCAGCTCTCTCCATGTGTGGGAATTGCACTCTGTCCAGGTTGGTGGCTGTGTGGAAGATGGAAAAGGTGCCTGAGGAGATGCTGGAAGAAGCACTCCAGCATTACTGGAGTCCCTAAGGCAGGTTCTGCCCTTCTGCTTGTCCAAAGGGAATGAAAATACTGTGCCTGCCTTCAGCACTGAGCATTGCTGGCCATTTTGGAAATAAAGCCAGCAGGAAAACACACAGTCTGAGTGTGAATAATGAATAATTCCCTTCCTGGGATGTAGTGGATGTTGTCCTCACTAGCTAATGCACTTAGTCCTGTTTTGACTTCCCCAGCAGTTAACAAGGACTGAAAGCAGCTGGCAAAGGGGCAGAGCTTCAGGTTCACAGAGTTTGGCCACGTTGGCCATTAGTCTGGCACCACCAGCTGGTATGTTCCCACCTGGGCACAGAAATTAAAGATCTGTGGCATTTTGTGGGTTTTGTGCATTCCTCAGTGTGTTACAAGCACACCTGAAGCTAAGCTTTCTTTCATAACAGGAGTAAGGCCTCCTCCTCCTGCACTGAGGAATGATGCCTCAAACCCAGATCACTGCCTCCAACCCTAAGGACTGGTGCATTTGCTCTTAAAGCAACTGCTTGTAGCAAAAAGAGTAAAACCAGCAAATTGCCACTGGAAAATGCAACAACCCCAGGTTCAAATGAATATGGTTCATTTGAAATTCAGGCCCTGGTCGCTCAAACAAAAAGCCTGGTTTTCAGTTCAAACACAAAACAAAGCTCAACTCAGCAGAGTGAACATAAGGTATTAACTGCCTCCCCCCCAGTCAGGTCCACCCATTTCTCCAGGAAGGTGCTGGCATTTTGGGGAAGGAGGCCAGGACAACCCCTGCCTGGGGGCAGAGACATTTGAGCATCAGTATTTTATTGCAAAGACTAATTACATTGCTGTGTACAAGTCACACTGGGCAGTGTGTCCTTCATTGAAGTGGTACAAAATACATATGGTACAGCCAGTCCCTCCAGTGACACTGGGCTGCTGGGGACACTGGTGGGAAGGGAGGGGACAGTCCCAGGGTAGGCAGGAGCTGGCAGAGGGAATTTGGTGCCCGAGGGAAGGGGCTGGGCTTTGGGCAGGGTGGGAGGCAGGAGGCTGCCCCTGCGTCAGGGAGCCAGGAGCTCCCATCATGTGCAGCAATGGGCAGTGGGGACACAGGGCTGGGGAAGCCACACTCACACCCAAGCAGCCTCTTCCCCACCTGGTGCCAGGGACCTGCAGCCCACCTCCTGTCACCAGCCCTGGCCCCTGGAGCGTGGTCCTTCTCCTGGAGCTGAGGAAGGCACCGAACCCACCTGGCAGCTCCGACGGACGGGAAAGAAAAAAGATCTGCTGGAATGAAGTGCTTAAAAAACAGAGATAGAGCCAGGAGCAACAAAAGGTCCCCCTTTGGTTAGTGTTTCCTACAATGATTAAAACAAGCAACTGCCCCTGCTCGAGCAACTAGCAGTAGAAATTTGGGAGGGGGGGGACTGGCAGGGTCTGCACCCCATGAGCACAGCAGAGCAAAGCTGCTGCTGCTGCCAACGTCCCTCCCAGCAGCCTTAAATACCAGGGTGGGGACAGGAGAGGGACTGGGCTGCAGGGCAGGGGGAAGCTGGATTAGTAAAATGTACAAGTTTGCCTCTTCTATTTACAACCAATAAATACTGAAAAAAAAAAAAATCAGTAAACCTTTTTGTTTTATACAAAAAAAGTCCCATTGCTGCTTCTCCCATGGTCAGTGTTTGAAAAAGTCTGGTTAAAG